TTCGTGTTTTTTTAGTTTTTAAAAAGTCGTATTTTTCATAAACTTCACGTTTATTGTCAGCCGCGCTCTCCTCTGTCCTCGAACGAGCTGTTCACTTCCTGAGTCTATGAAACCACTCCCTCAGAAACACGTAGTGGGCTCAGATTGGTTAGTTTGGCCCGGTGTGTTGTGATTGGCTAAACTGTCGCTCACGTTGTCCGGAAAGTTAGCGCCCATTACCTTTACGGGCGAAACGGGCACGTCATGAGCTCCGGTCCAGATGTAAATATGTGTCGAACTGCAGTATCGGTTTGAGGCAGAATGAGACCGACTCGATGAAGAGAGTCGAACAGAACCTCACCACACACGGCTCTTAATAAACGTTTCTGAATGATAATTTGCTAAAAAATTTTTTTTTTTACTTTATACACGTTTGTTTTACACAATAGCAACTGACTGGCTACTAATGTTATACTTAAACAGCGTTGGAATTAGTTTACGTTCTTAATCATATCGAAAATAACGCTATAAAAGCATATATACATAAAAAATACGTTTACAACATTAGTACTTATACAAAATTCATGTTTGTACGCATTTGTCGTAAACACAAAATAGCATAACTAATAGCCTAGTGGCTATAAAAGCCAGCGCTGGCATTTGAAAAAAAACTAAAAACACAACGGCTACGTCTGGAATTATACATGCAAATACATTTAAATGATGAAGTCTTCGCCTACTTACAGGTTGTAGCTGGGGCTGTCGCGATAACCGCAATATTGTAGTACCGCGCTTCTGACAAGTCAACCGCAGAGGATTGCACGTAACCGCAGCAACCGCGATATTCACGTTTTTTTTTTATAAGGCTATAGCCTTCTTGTTTTGAACTTAATGCATGTGTATTGAATATTAAACAAGTTCATAATGATAACAAGACTGTTTATCATGGTGATGTGTAGCCTACATGTTTCACACAGACAGTGAATGAGAGAGATAGCCTTTCGCCGAGCCCCGCCCCCCTTAGTTACTGCTACTACCTCCGTCAAA